GTAGCAGTAAGGCAGCATTATTTTTATACCTTCTTTCTTTTTCAATGAATGCATACCCTTTGATCCAATTAGTTTTGGCCTGTCCATTTGTAAGCAAATTTCTATAAAATGTCAAAGAAAAAAAAAGTAAAAAGAGACTTTCATTTAGATTACTAGAAAGATTTAACAGCTGTTAGACACTGAGGAATATCTTTCTCTTTTATAATAAACCAGCAACAGTCTTTTCAATGACATTTAAGTGCAGTCATGTTTGAATAGTGGAAACAAGGTTAAAAATGTTCAATAGACTGACATTATATCAAACCTTCATCTATTAAATTCAACAAATGTTTACCAAGTTTCTACTGTGGGCAAAGCACAATACTTGGTAAGATTCTGTGAAGAACAAAGAAGAGCTATATACAATCCCTTAAGGAGGAGAACATCAGGAAATGCGGATAGGACAAACAACATAACATGAGGCAGAGTGTCATATAGGTTCCAGAAGAGAAATAAAGTGTTGTAAAGATATACAGAGAAAAAAGAGGTTATTACATCTTTCAGAAAATTCATTAGAACATTTGCTCTTTCATTTCATATACCAACTTGCTAATAATGGTGACCTAGAATATGCAATGACACGCACCTTTAGAAAGTACAAGAAAAATAATGGATTAATAAAGATTTTTTTAGGGCCCGGCCCCGTGGCGTAGTGGTTAAGTCCGGCATGCTCCACTTTGCTGGCCTGGGTTTGCAAGTTTGGATCTGGGGCACGGACCTACACCACTCATCAAGCCATTTTGTGGCGCCGACCCACATACAAAATAGAGGAAGATTGGCACAGATGTTAGCTCAGGGCTAATCTTCCTCAAGCAAAAAGAAAAGAGGAAGATGGGTAACAGATGTTAGCTCAGAGCAAATCTTCCTCACCAAAAAAAAAAAGAAAATTTTCCAATGGAAGTTAAAGAAATAAAAGCAATGAAAAGTAATGGAAATTTAAAATAAATTTATAGAAATTTTAACATTACAAATGTAACAGGACAAATTTAGAGAAAAAAATTACCATAATCTTATCATCATACCACAATTATTTTCATTTGTGTATGTCAGGTATTTGCACATATTAAAGATATGTGACTCTGGGTATAGCCACTTTTCTTTAGAACATGGAAAGGAGCACAGCTTATGCAGAATGTGGGCTTTAGTGCTACACAAACTTCATTCAAACCACAGCCTGTGTGATGCACATATTTTGTACTTAACCTACATCAAGCCAGGCTTACTAAACTGAAAAATTAGAAATAACAACAATAATAAAGCCTATTTCACGGGCGGTCAAGAGGATTAAAGTAAATAATCTATGGAAAGTGACAGCAGCTGTCATAAAATAAGGGCTCAAGAAACAGAGGCTCTTAAAATCCTCATCTTCCTCATTTTACCTTTTATCTGTCTCAGTTTCCCTCATGATTAAAAACCTTTATATTCCTGTGATACTGATTTGAAATACCAAGAAGTAGGCACATAAACTCCAAAGAGATGATTACCAGTAGACTACATAGCATCTTCTAAAAGTTCAGCACAACAATGGACAGATGCACTCTCTGAAGGCTGACAGTCCTGGTCCTGCTGTGGGAGTCCATGTTGTTGACGTGGGATAATCACAATACCTGCTTCCCTCCGCCTGGTGGCACAAGGAGACACAGGCACAGTGGCTTCTGCCCATACCCCTCTGCAGAAGGTGGCCTAGGAGCACCAGACAGCACCAGAGGGACTGATGAGGACCCACAGCAAGACCAGGATGAAGCCGACCAGAACTGCATTGCAGGGGCTCTGAAAACTAAACTGTCTTTGGGCCAAAGCCCACAGTGTAAGTCAGACCCTACACACTCAACCTAAACAGATGACAACATGCGAAAATAGAAGATTTAAATAGGACCTAGAGTCTCCTGATATAATAACCAAACATCCAGGATATGACCCAAAATCACCTCTTATGCCCAAAACCAGGAAAACCACAATCTGAAGGAGAAAAGATGCTCAACTGATAACAATACTGATAAATCACATATTTAGAATTATCTGACAAGGATTTTAAGGTGGTCATCATAAAAGTGCTCCCAGAATCAACTATAAATTCTCTTGAAACCAATGGAAAAAATGGAAATTCTCAGCAAAGAAACAGAAGTTATGAAAAAGGAACCAGGTGGAAATTACAGGACTAAAAAATACAATTATTGAAACAAAAAACTGGCTGGATGGTCTCAGTAGAGAGAAGATGACAGAGAATAGAGTCAATGAACTTGACGACAGATCAATAAAATTTACTCTATTTGAAAAAGAAAGAAAAATAGACTGGGAAAAATGAGTAGAGCCCAGGGATTTGTGGGACAATAATAATCTAATGATCTAATATTTGTATCATTGGAATCTCAGAAGGAGAGGCGGGAGAGTGCGGACACTGAGAAAGTATTCGAAGAAATAGTGGTCGAAAACTTTCCCAATCTGGTACTAGGTATTATCTACACGTACTTAACTTTTTACATTTAGAGCTAATATGGTACTATTTCACATAAAGTGTAGAAAATTTGCAACTGTATAGCTTCTTTGACCTCTGTCCTTATGCTATAGTTATCATATTATATCTACACACATTATAAATCTCATAAGACAAGGTTATAATTTTTTGCTTTAAACAGTCCTATGTATCTTAAACTAAGAGGCACAAATAGTATTTTATATTTATTTAGATACTTGCCATCTCAGGTTTTTTGTATTGCTTCTTAAAGATTTGAATTTCCATCTAGTATCATGTCCCTTTAGCATTAACTTCAATGCGCGTAGTTATAATAGCTAAAATCCATAGTTAAAATCCTTGTTTGCTAATTCCAACATCGCGGTCGTCTTGGAGTTAGTCTTGGTTGTTTGTCTTTTCTCTGAAATCAGGTCACATTACTCTGGATCTTCTTATGTTGTGTCATTTGGGTTGAATCCTGAATATTGTGAGTATTAGGTGGCGGCGACTCTGGATTTGCTATATTCCTCTAGAGAGTGTTGATGTTTTTGTCTCAGCAGGCGATTAATTTGGTTGGATACAAACCGCAAATTCTCTTGGGCAGCAGATCAAATCTTGGTTCAGTTCGTTCATCTTTAGCTGCTTTGTGTTCAGTCTGCCCCACGCACGTATGTGTGGTTCCGTGGTCAATCAATGACACGGGCAGAGTTTAAACACAGAACTTGGGGCTCCCCCTCTCGGAATCTCTCCTGAGATTTCCCTTTCCACTGGCTGTGGGTGCCCAAATGTGTGCTGGCTCTTCAGGCCAAAACGACTATGAATTTTCTGCTAGAGTTTTGGCCAGCCTGCTTGATAACATTGTTCTGCCCTCAAGATAAAAACTGTAAAAAATGAGAAATCACCTCCCACTGGTTCCTTCTCCCAAATTTTACATCCCTTCAGAATCTGCCTGCTTTTGTTCACTCTCTCTCTAGCATTGTTTTTGATTTTGTCCAGAATCTAGAGTTGGATTCAGTAGGAGCTTACTCCACAGTAGACGCAGAAACCTTCTAGAGATTTTGATGGGAATTTTTTTGGTGTGTGTGTGAGGAAGATCAGCCCTGTGCTAACATCTGCCAATCCTCCTCTTTTTTTGCTGAGGAAGACTGGCCCTGGGCTAACATCCATGCCCATCTTCCTCCACTTTATATGGGACGCCGCCACAGCATGGCTTGCCAAGCAGTGCGTCAGTGTGCGCCCGGGATCCGAACCGGCAAACCCCAGGCTGCCGCAGTAGAACGCGCACACTTAACCGCTTGCGCCACTGGGTCGGCCCCTTTGATGGGAAATTTTTTAAACTCAAAATTAAGTTTGGAGGAATGCCCATTTTTAAACATCCATCCTTTCCAAACAAGATCCTGTTCTGTCTGTCCATCTGGTTCTTTGATGCTTCTCAGTAACATTTTCTTCATATAAATCATGCACATTTCTGATTAAATACCTACGTTTATCATATTGAAATCGATTGTTTCATTTGCCTATATTTCCTTGTAATTGCTATTTTTGGAGACTGGAATTTATGGCAGCCTGATTTGCAGTGGGACTTTTCCCTCGTTGCACAATTTGCATTTCCTTCTGAACGCACACCCTGTGTACTTCACATCAAGTCACTAAGATCATCAATGGTCCAGTCTAGTTCCTGGTCTGCATTGTAGAGTCATTGCTCTGCTGGGTTAAGATCACTGATCTGAAGTTGGTTCTAATTCTGTCTCTTCAGTGTAGAGTTCCAACACATATAAGACGGTGAACTAAGCTCTGTCCTTGATGGTAATTTCATATGCTGTTAACTTCTATAGCTCTGCATGGACAATTCAGTGATAGAATGCAAAGGGGCTCAAGCCATCTTCCAAGCAGTTCTTTTTTTTTAATAGATTGAACGAGCTCTGAATGGAATTTTCCACAAACATGCAGAAATACTTTAAGATTGAGGTTTTATTTTTCTTTCACACAGTTACCTGAACTAAAGTTTGGAAAAAAAAAAAAAGGGAGTTAATATAAAATCAGAAATAAAAAAAAATAGCACATTATTAAACTTTTGAAATTGACTTACTTTTTAAAACTAACAGATATTAAAATCAAAATTAGAAAAACTTAAATCAACTTTTATTTTAAAGATATGCAAACTTCTTCTGTTCTTAAATGTTACTTTTTATATTCTGAATCGCCATAGCTTTCCATGAAAATACATTTAAACCTATACAAGTGTTTGGCATATCCCTAGCATCTAAGAAGATCTTGATATTTGTTGAATAGAATAAACAAAAGAAAATATTCTTTTCCATAAAGGAGATTTCATTTCTTAAATTTCATTTAAGAAAACAAGGAGTACCTTTAATTATACCTTATGAATAGTAGCAATACATGAAAAAATTATTCATCACAGACAGAATACATTATTTTATTGTACTGCATAACCTTCCCCTAAAAAAAAAAATCACTGCTCCCCCAAAGAAGTTACAACAGACCAAGAGCATACTAAAAATACTTTATTGTCATTACTAAATGCACTAAATATACATTCTAAATGGAATATATTGTATATTTCATGAAACACATATAACGTTCACCAAGGTAAAAAAAAAATAGCCATAGAATGGAAAGATGGCACACATAAAAAAAATGAACAGTTCTCAAATATTGTAATAACTTTACAATGTACCATAGATATTCTACAACCTTTTTATTAAAGAAAAGGGGATTAACCATTATACACAGTTTGAAGAGATTAAATGCCAGATATTCTACAGAAGGAGAAAATATTAGCATCCTGGAATAATTTTTATTCCTGGCCCATTTTCTGCCCACTGGAAAAAATTGCACTGTTTTTCCTTCCCAAGAGGACACACAAAAAAATTCTTTCCATTATTAGGTCCAATCTTCAACACTGTTCTCATGATGGAGCGTTTGCCATGGTTGCAGAATGGGAAGGACAAGTCTGCCCACTGTGGGGGAAAACAGAAAGATTGTAAAGGTTAGATGGAAGTTAGAATGATGTATGGGCTAAGCCTAGGCATGTTTGATTGGTGACATATTGTCTTCACTGCTGCTACTATTAATTTGACATTGTATAATAGACATGTGTCATTAGTTGTTGCCCCTAAAAAAACTTATATCCTATAAGAAGCATCTCTTACAAATTTGCTTGAATCACACAGCAAATTGCCATAATTCTGAGCTTCTCTTTGTCTAAAGGCATACTTACAAAAGTTTCTTCACTTTATTGAGAATAATTGAAAACCATCAAAATCTTGCAGTAAAGCGCTCACCAATGTTCCCGTGATAGATGTTTTAGTTAAAACTATTAAGATCAGGGCCGGCCCCGTGGCTTGGCGGTTAAGTGTGCGCGCTCAGCTGCTGGCAGCCGGGGCTCGGATCCCAGGCTTGCACCGACGCACCGCTTCTCTGGCCATGCTGAGGCCGCGTCCCACATAAAGCAACTAGAAGGATGTGCAACTGTGACATACAACTGTCTACTATGGCTTTGGGGGAAAATAAATAAATAAATAAAATCTTTAAAAAAAAAAACTATTAAGATCAAAGATTTGTCATGATTCTAATACTAAACATCCTTAGTCTCTTAGGAAAAGAAAAAATCCAACATAGAATTACTCAGACTAATTTAGGCAGATTCCACTGTATTATTCTCATTCTTATTAATATTGGCCTCAAGAGAGGTATAAAGCAGGCTGTGATATTATTAATATTGCTAATAATATTTTCTCCATTACATGTATAAAAGCTTCTAGAGGAGGAAATCTGTAAATTTAGTAAGATGGAGTCACATCTTGTGCAGGGGTGAAGATCTAAAATCATCATCAAATTTTCCCAGGGAAATTCCTTAGGAAGGTACCACTTTGAAGACAGATATTTTCTCTCTCAACAAGCCCAACCAGAAAATTTTAGCTCCAGCCTGAAACAGATCAATATTTTCTTTTTTCAGTTATGCACCAGATGGAGCAATTGGAAAAATATCTATCTTTAAACATTAGAATCACACTCAGCACGATGAGATGCTCACACTCTGAGGAATGCAGAGAGTGAGACTGACTAAAAGGACCCAGATTCTTGTCTCCTGTCTCACATTCATTTTCAGGGACACACTCATAGACTGGAAGGCATGAGAAATCACCTATATCTAAATTGTTATCAGGCCGTCACTTTTTTTTGGTCAAGCTTGTGTAGTAGGATTCACTAAGTTTATCATAAATTCAAGAGATGTAAATTATTTTTCTCATGTACCTCTAGCCCATGTATAAGCCAAAGGTTTTGATGTCACACTGAAGTTAGAAAGAGCACATCCGTATCTTGGATTATTAGCCACCTGGGTAAGTTACTCAAGACCTTTCTATCTTTATAAACCAAGGGCACCGCTTCTACACTTGTGGTTACAAATATGACATACTCCAATAATCTAATAGCTATTATTTAATTTTTCTTTTTTTTTATGAACCTCTTCGAATTTTAAATTATTCAACGTTCAGGCTTTAGACTGAATATCAAAAGTAAAACCGGAAAAGGATTGCTGTTACATTTTAATACCTGAAGTATTCAATGACACTGGAGTCAGCTTGATAAACTTTACACGTACTTGAAAAAATCCACATTGTGCTTCTCGAGGTAGAGGACAAGCATAGAACTGCCTGCCCTTGTTTTCGCCGTCCTTCCTCACAACACGGAGAGCACAGAGGCGGTGGTGTTTACTGCAGCGGGGACTGCCAGCATTCAGCGTACAGGTGCCATCTGTCTTATTAATTTGAAGTTCCCTGTAATGACAGGTTACAAAATAACTACAGCATGATCTTGCTAAAGGGGTCATTCGTACCACCTCACCCCCATGTTAGAATTCTACTTCTACAAAGAAATTGTACCAAAAAGTGGACCATGGTCAACTTTAGGTAACTACGCACACTGCTAAGACTTTTTTTTTTTTTTTTTTTGGTGAGGAAGATTGGCCCTGAGCTAACATCTGTGGCCAATCTTCCTCCATTTCATATATGGGACGCCGTTACAGCAGGGCTTGAAGAGTAGTGTGCAGGTCCGCAGCCAGGATCCGAACCTGTGAACCCTGGGCCGCAGAAGCAGAACTCGCAAACTTAACCACTACACCACGGGCCTCTGCTAAGACTTCTTAATCCTTGGTTTTGCCAGGTAATTTTAATTTACTTCCAAAGCCACCTATGTACCTAAAGCACGTAATTTAAATTTCTTAAGAATAAAAACAGCTGAATTGTGCATCCAATTTTCTTAGTTTTCGTTTGTGATATTCAGTTCTTCTCTTAACCAATATTACAGTGTTGCCACTTTTATTTCCTCTAAAATATTCTCAAGTCCAGCTGCCCCCGGCCTCCAAAGTAACTAGAGTCACCATCTTCTCTAATTATTTTCTCATCAGTAGCAAACTGTCATCAATGGCTCTGACAAGGCCAAAGAGATCACTCTCTCCCCTGTCCACTTTCAAGACAATTTTCTATGCTTTTCTTTGATCATGGCAACTATAATAGTTGCAATCATATTTCAGCAAGGAACAGGCTGCCGGCAGAGCAGAAATGTGCATTTTGTAAAGCTAGTAGGGAAGCTTCATTCCCTCCATGATTAGGATCAAGAGTATCTGGAGGTTATTCCTGCAAACAGTGTGCAAAGGTCAGGAGCTGGCCTTCTAGTGTGGCTGTATAGGCAGAATTTTCTCTTTGAAAAGGGGCTTCATGATTATTTTTAATTTTTTATATTTTGCGTAATTTTAATAATGCCTTTATAAGAGTTAGTCTTTTTAATAAACCGGTTAAAGAGAAAAAGAACTCACATCAATTAAAACCAGAAGTCCTTCCCTTTAATATCCCTATTTTAAGACTTTTTAATGATAAAAAGTTCATCTGTTCCCACTTTTTAAAATTAATTTCTAAGCAACAAAATATTCTTAAATAATTTTTAAAAATACTTAAAAAATCAGAGGTAGTTCCCCTTTTCTTTGCTTCCTAAACTATATTCTTCACATACTTGTTCCTATAATGATGCCTCAAGGCATCATATCTAATTGAAATGTTCAGAGTATGAGATCTTTTTTCCCCTGTTTTATTGAGATATAACTGACATATAAGAGATCTTTTATTTGTGATGAAATTGGTTTAAATTCATTTATAAAACAGATGCTTGAATATATTGCTTTAAATGGACTCAAACATTCTGGGGTAGTTTCTGAAGCTGTTTGAACAGCAGGCATTTGTAAAACAGAAGCAGCTGTCGGCATTGCTAAGGAAATCATCATAATTAAATATTTCATCAGTAACTATTCTGTCGGTACCTTTTCCAGGGTAGGGGACAGTGGCTTGTATTTTAGAATCATGGTAATAGCAACCAGAAACGGGAAGCTGAGAGGCCACAGGCTTCTCTTTTCCACAACCCCCCACAGTTACACCAGCCCCTCCCCGCAAAAGCGATATTAAAACTTCAACTTCAAGAGAAGCTAAATATCTCGATGGTTGTAGAGAAGTCCAGTGATTTCAAAATTGAAGCAAGTGGGTCATAAATGGGTGCTTTAAAAAAAAACTTTTAAAGGAGAAAAAAATGAAGTTAAGAATATTAACAATGATATGATGCTTTCTTATTAAAAGCACACACGTGCATGGGGCCGGCCCCACGGCTTAGCGGTTAAGTGCGCATGCTCCGCTACTGGCGGCCCGGGTTGGGTTCCGGGCGCGCACCGACGCACCGCTTCTCCGGCCATGCTGAGGCTGCATCCCACATACAGCAACTAGAAGGATGTGCAACTATGACATACAACTATCTACTGGGGCTTTGGGGAGAAAAAGGGGAAAAAAAAAAAGGAGGAGGACTGGCAATAGATGTTGGCTCAGGGCCAGTCTTCCTCAGCAAAAAGAGGAGGACTGGCATGGATATTAGCTCAGGGCTGATCTTCCTCACACACACACACACAAAAATAATAGCCATATGCTATCTGATCCCTGGTACTCAGAGTGTGGTCCACTAACGAGAAGCATCAGCATCACTTAGGAGCTCCTTACAAATACAGAATCATCTGCCCCTCCTCCAGAGGCTGGCAGAATCAGAATCTGCCTGTTAACAAGATCCCCAAGTGATTCATATGCACGTTAAGCTGCCAAGCACTGAGTTAATGCAACCAAGATACTGACGCCACCTGTGAGCACATCTACATATGCACGACTAATCTTAATTTTATGATAGAAAACATTATCCAGGATAATTAAGTGTTCTGATTAATTAAGGACATCTTGGTTCCTCTTTGTTTCAATCATTATTTAAAAGCTTTCTAAAATGTAGCAGAGCATTTTCTCAGGTAAATGTAGCATACAGAACAGTTCAACTTATTTTGATGATTAGGACCATCATTTTGAATATTAATATTAGATTGCAAATGGTCTATTAATATAACAGATCAGGAGTTGATCTATTATAATCTTTTCAATACCTTCAATGTAAGATTATCTTCAGTAATCTTTTCAGATAGCACCTATTTTAGTCTTGTAGGTCTTATGGTCTCTGTTGCAACTACTCAACTCTGCAGCACAAAAGCAGCCATAGACAATATGTAAACCAACAGGAATGAGATGTGTTCCAATAAAACTTCATTCACAAAAACAGGTGGCTGGCTGGATTTGGCCCTGTGGCTGTAGTTTGCAGAGGGAGAGGTCACTAGAACCAAGAGCAATGTTCAATGCATGATAGGTCCTCAATAAGTACTCATTAATTAATAAATAAACAAATAACATGGGACAGAGATCAGACAAAAACTATTATCAAGAAGGAGGACATTACCAAGCACAAGCTTGTAATTTTATTTTATTTATTATTATTTTTTTAATTTTCTTTCTTTCTTTTTTTCCCCCAAAACCCCAGTAGATAGTTGTATGTCATAGCTGCACATCCTTCTAGCCGCTGAACGTGTGACGCGGCCTCAGCATGGCCGGAGAAGCGGTGCGTTGGTGCGCGCCCGGGATCCGAACCCGGGCCGCCAGCAGCGGAGCGCGCGCACCCAACCGCCAAGCCACGGGGCCGGCCCCACAAGCTTGTAATTTTAAAATGGACATTATTTTTTCAGTGATCAAGTTATCATGGTTTAACTTTTTTACAGATAGCGTGATTCATTACAATAAAAACACCGTCTAAAATTTTTTGGAACTAATGAGTCTCACTGAATGTAGATTTTTGTAGCTCAGTGGTATTTCAAGGATTCAAACAAACAAACAGAGGTTAAATGACTCATCCTAGATGGTTCCAGGTGGTTCTGAGATCCTTGGGGACTAAAAAATCCAAAAAGTGACCCAGAACCAAGTAGAAAGGGCAGCGCTTCACTCTTGAGGAGAGGTAGAACAGTGGCAACCCTGATGGCAGCAGACAGGAGAAAATGACAGTGATTTTGTTAGTTTCATTTCATCCATCTCCGTGAGCCTTTGCATCAGCTCAGCAAAACTTGAACCTAAAATACATGTATTCTTTAAAAATGTACCACTGTGTTTTCCTCTGTATTTCCAATAATTCATCAAAGACTGAAAACTATTTCTAGCAGTTCCTCTTAACTGCTTAAAAATTGGTTCAACCATCTAATTTATAATCCGGTAGCTGGGTCAAATTCAAGTATATCTAAAGACCAATCTGAAAATATGCCTCCTCGACATAGCATGCATCATGTGGTGATGAGATCGGTAATTAAGAGCACAAAAGGCAAATTAATTACCATATAATTATTAAAGAAAAACTAAACTGGCTATAAATTCTCCGAGTGAGCCACCTGCTTTAACCATATTATGTCGTAGGCTTCTGCTCAGCATCTTGTCCACAAGATGAACACTGTAGCTGCCAGACAAGGAGAAAAATGAAATAAATGACAGTAATTTGCAATTTATTCCTTGTAAAGTAGCTGGGTGCAGAAGGGCTGCTGGGTGAATGTATTTCATCACTTGACATTTATTCTGCTGGTTGATCTTGATTGATTTGAGAGTCTCAGTCCTGGGGTTCTTATATTCAACAGATACACAGGCTGCTGAGTTTCTAAGTAATGCTGTGCACTGTGATTGATCATGTGACCTCATTACTAATGGCTTATGAAGAAATCATTTAAAATTAAGGTTACATTAATGTCTTTTTAAATCCCTAATTCATTAGTTAAATCGTCTGAGATTTTTCTACAAAGCACTAAGGAAATAAAAATATGCCAAGATATTTCATTGGGGTGCAACAAATGCCATAATATTTTAAAAGAATCACATCTACTTCTTTCTACTTAAGCTACAGAAAAGCCTGTTCAAAGTGATTTTCTTACAGGATAGCCTCGCAACTCAGATGCTCTTAAATAGCTCCTTCCTGAACTTTTGTCAGGAGACATTTATCAGGGTTAAGGTGAAAAGGTGGTATACTGATGCACTCAGTTAGAAGTTTGGCCCTGTAGCTTAATTTAAATATCTATCATTTGTATTATGGACAAAAGTAAACCAGTTATTATAAATGATTATGAACAAATTTAAAAAAAAAAATGAGTCAAGGATATATCATCAAAATTAACTGATGGAGGGGCTGGCCCTGCGGCGTAGTGGTTAAGTTCGGCATGCTCTGCTTCAGCAGCCCGGGTTTGCAGGTTTGGATCCCGGGCACAGACCTACACTACTCATCGGCAGCCATGCCATGGCGGTGACCCAAATACAAAATAGAGGAAGATTGGCACAGAGTTAGCTCAGGGTGAATCTTCCTCAAGCAAAAAAAAAAAACAAAAAACATTAACTGATAGTAAATTTAGAGTTGGGATAGGAAACTTGAGATAAAAGCATCTCTTGACCAAAAACTGTCTCAGAATTCTGTTATGAAATAAGCTTTAAGGATTCCCAGAGGTTGGTCTAGGAGTGTCCACCAAGTGGTCCTGCATCTCACTGCCCAAAGGAAGACTCCTTCCCTCAGCAAAGGCACAGCCAATCAGAGGAGAAGCTGGAAATCAGAATCCCTCTTGAGATTACTTCAGATTCCCCCCATAGGAACTCTCTCTGCTCGTCTTCCATTGGCAAGAAAAGACACATGGGAAAAAGACTCTTCACTTTCACTTCTTTTAAAATATTCTTCACTTCATTTAAAAATGCTGGATATACAGCACCTGCTTTCTGAAGGAAAAGAAAAAATAGCTTGGAAAAGAAAATTGTGGAGTGATGTCTTGCTCTGATGGAGGCATAATATCAGGTTGTGGTAGTTGGAAGACCAGAGAAAGGGACTAAACAAGGAGGGGGAAGGAGTGTCACCAGACAGTTTCAGGAGCTGCCAATAATCATTAAGGAATGAGGGATGACATTGTGAATTAAAATTTCTGCATCTCTGGTGACAGTAGATATCATCTGAATCTGGTAGTCTCATGAATGTGTAGTTTCTCCTGAATGTGCAGTTGGTAGTCTCATAAAACATATCTGGTCTGGTAGTATTCATTAATTGGAATCATAACTTTTTAATTTCAGATACAAAAGTAGCTCGCTCTTTGGGCTTTTTTGGTTGAAACAAAGAACACCATCCTGTATGGCTGTTTGAGATACAGCCACTTTCTTTAGCAGAAATGTCACTAGGAGTATCTCAGATCCCTCTCTTTAGAATAGAAGACACTTACTAAACTGTTATGAAGGATAGTTTCCCTTTTAGAAGAACTATCTTTCATTGGAAGGAAATATAAAAAAATGCCAACAGCGGTGAATGATAACTGGCAAGATTATGGGGGATTAAAACACTTTTCTTTATACTTTCCAACATTTTCCAAATATTCTGTATTGAGCATATATATGATTACAGTGAGAAAAAAAAATTTTTTTTCAGATGTTGGAAATTCTGTTTTTCTTTCCCTTCCCTTCTCTAACATTATAAGCTAATAGAGAAGGCAAGGGAAACAAATTACTATAATAGATTCAGGGTTTGGTTTACATGACCAAAATCAATTCAACTTTCTCAGCAATGGATGATTTTTCTGTGGTGTTAAAACAATGCAAATACCTGAAAGATCAAGGTTAGAAGCATCATACCTGTTGGAAAATCCAGGGTTGCAACTTTTGAGATCTGGTGATGAGGAGTGGGTTGTTTTCAATTTTTTATATGCTGGACTAAATAATTTAGATGGAGGGCAGACCCCAGGTGATAGGTTTACTTCGTTAGATAGTTGAGTTACATGGTTTGTTCTCTCCTTGGAGGGGTGCGGTATATCACTAAGACAGACATTGGTAGGAGGAGAGTTTTGAAATTCCTCATCTAGCATCTGGTTTTGGCTTTTTTTTCTTTCCAAAGCACTGGATTTATTGCTAACATCGGTTAAGACAAGGGTTGTACTTCCAAAGGCAGTTTTCCTGTTGATCTTCACTTCTGTACTTGGCTTTCCAAAGTTGTTGCAAGGGTACTTCACTAAGTGGTTAAAAGCAATAGAATTTTCCTCATTCTTGAGTACTGAATCTAGAAGAAGAGATAAGTAATTCTATAGTATTCCCATAAATGTCATATATTGACGATAGTATTCTTATAAATGTAATATACTGACTATTTGAAAGATCTTTTTATTTGATTAGAACATTTAGTTCATTCATCACAGTGAACTCATATAAAGAACTAATAATACAAAGCTAGCTTGGGCAATTCAGAATTAACCATCTTCTGGTTAGGAAATGAAGTATTATACAAAGTGCAAAATTTCAACAACTTATAGGGACTCAGAGGTGGGTTTAACAAAGATTTATATTTGCTTCATATTACGTCTAAGCATTTTAAGGTTATTCAGCTATCAGTTTTGTTACTATTAGGCAAAGTATTAAAGCAGTGGTAATTAAGAGGTGATATCTCATAAAGCTTTAGATCAGCAGTCAGAGGCCTATATTCACATCATCACGAATGTTATGTCAATGACAAGACAAAGTGAAAGGCTTATTTAAAAACAGTAAAGATGAATTACAAAGACAACATTTATTAACTATGTTTTAACAAAGTATCCTAGGATTTTCGAATCTGTACTATAGTATATTCTAAATTGTGGTTAAGATATGTGTCTTGGGGCCAGCCCGGTGGTGTAGCGGTTGGGTTCACGCCTTCCGCTTCGGTGGCCTGGGGTTCGCTGGTTTGGATCGGGGGCGAGGACCTACACACTGCTCGTTAGGCCATGCTGTGGCGGCGACTCACACAGAGCAGCTAGAAGGATGTACAACTATGACCTACAACTATCTACTGGGGCTTTGGGGAGAAAAAAGGAGGAAGATTGGCAACAGATGTTAGCTCAGGGCCAATCTTCCTCAAAAAAAATACGTGTCTTTCATACTCAGAAAAAATAACAAGAAAATAGTTAATGAGATGTGTGAAGGCATTTCAGAATGCTGAGATAAATGTGGAAACCCAGGCTGTGGTGTGCTGAGGGCTCTGCTGAATGGCAATGAAGAGGAGGGGAGAGAAATAGGAGATGGAGTACCAGCAAAGCTGTGCAAAGGGCAATGCCCGCCTTTCTGGCCCAGAGAACAAAACACAATATGACAGCTAACACAATGCTGGGATCGGTAAGTCAAGAATGAACTTTCTCATCTCTAATTGAAGAAAGAAATAACACTCTGAGAACACAATAGAAGCCTCAGCAATGAGATGGTTCTTAATCACAGGTTTCCTCCGAGGTTTTACATTCTCTGAACGCATGAAATTGTGAGCTAAAAAGAGTTATTTTGAAGGATTTCAATGAAATCAGTACAATTGTCTGAGTAAAGATTTTAATAACAAGGGGTAGGAAGGATAAAGAAGAGAAAAAATTCAGCATTTTTCTATTCCACCTGCGAAGATATTCTTACAGAAATCCTCCCTTTCAATTTATGAAACACTTGGACTGAATAACAAAACTCAAAAGTTGCTGAAATCTGCATAAAACAAAGCTTTATTGAATAATTCATTAGAAACAGTAGAGAACAGATGTGATCATCTCAGTTTTTTGAGATACAAAGGCACATACTCTTTCAGCACAAGTATGCTTTCTCTCCCCGTTTTAAACAAAAGTGCTCACAGAATATTGGCATGGTTTACATGCAAAGTCTGGCAATTTCTTTAAACCTTCCAGAAAGAAAGCATCTTACTCAGTTATGAAATATCAAAATGGAAGAAGGTATTTACCTGACTTTGTATAATTAACTCTCTTTGAAATGGAATGAGCTCAGAATCAAAATTCAGACTTACCAACAGGCCTTGAAGTTAGGCAAGCATCACACGCCTTAGAAGAAGGCTTATTTATTAGCGTGCAGACCGCACACGTCCATTGCTCTTCAGATTTCTGAGCCACGTGGTCCATAAGATGATCCCCTCTTCTAGACGGCCAGCTGGTTGTAGTGTTTCTAGCAGGCAGCTTGCTAAAAAAGAATTTTTAAAGTTAATCACTAACACTGTTATTATTGCCCTATTCTTACACATTCTGGGTATTTTAGAAACTATTACAGAACCATTAATACCCAAATGCTACATGTTTATTATTGCTTAGAAGTTCTATCTCAGCATACAATGTTTTCACTTGGGCCCTGATGATTTCTGTTAAAGACGGAAATAACAAATAAAGGTTTTTATTTAGGGGCCCGTCCCGTGGCTTAGTGGTTAAGTGAGCGTGTTCCGCTGCTGGCGGCCCGGGGGTTCGGATCCCAGGTGCACACCGACACACCACGTGTCAGGCCATGCTGTGGCAGCGTCCCATATAAAGTGGAGGAAGATAGGCACAGATGTTAGCCCAGGGCCAGTCTTCCTCAGCAAAAAAAGAGGAGGATTGGCATGGATGTTAGCTCAGGGCTGATCTCCCTCACAAAAAATAAATAAATAAATCAATTTTTTATTTAGAGTCAAAGAGTTGTATTCTTTTTCAATAAATCAACTAAAAATATTTGACATAACCACTAGGAAGCATTTCTCAAATAATATTTTAAGTAAGTGGTTCTCTTCCCAAAGCAAAACTAAACTCTCTTTATTCAACCAAATTGGGGGGGGGAAAGAGTTATGCAGAAATTAGAGCATTGAAAGTAAAATGAGAAAAGTTTTCCGCTTACTTCATGTGCCCTGAAAACTTCATGTGCTTCTAGAATTTCTCAACAGTATCTACTAAGCACTATATCGACTGGTTGATCTATAATGATGAAAAAGACATCTATCCTCGTGTTATTTCCCTTCAGGTAGAACTGTTTCATGCTGGATATCTAGTAAGCAAACAATAATATCAACCCTGATTTTTGGGCACGAATTTAAATCATGATTCTCTACCTGGAATTCCTGACTATTTACTGTTACACAAAATGCCTTTATAAAGCTCTGATAAAGTCCTACTCTTTAATGCACAGCTCTAGTCTGCAGAACACATCACATGGTTAAGCAACCACGGCAGTGTCATGGATTCCTTTCATGATTCGGAACGTTAATATTGAAAAAAGCTCTTTTGGTAAAAGCTCTGTACCTCACATTTCAGAACATGAGTTCTTGACTTTCAAAGGGAGCCTGTCTCCTGTAACATTTTGCTCCTTACATTTAATTACACCAGTTTTTAAATACAGGTTTGTCTGGTAAAGTAATAAATAGCATCAGAAAATCTGAAAGTAAGACATATCTCATTATGGTTCTTTTACCTTTCCTTATCCTGACTTTAATGCTACTCAACTTTTCTAATTCCTATGGAATACCAGACTTTCTATAGATTTGTTTACTTGACCTAATCCTTGCCCTCTACCAACTCACTCTGAAAGGCAGCATGATAGGTTTACTCATAATTAAGTAAATATAATTTAAATAACCTTCAGATTTTCAATGTGCTCCAACTTTTCACCATTTCATCTTCTATGCTATAGATGTCACTAATCATAAGGAGATATTTATTGTTACATATAGAAGCTTTGGAAGCATTTTTTCCTTACTGCTGCATTTCTTAATTATCTACTAATAAATTCTTTCTAATCTTCACTTAGATGTCTAACAGGAATTTCAAACTTCACATGTGTGTAGTAGTGGGCTGAATAATGGCCTCCCAAAGCTATCAGGTCATAATACCAGGAACTTGTAAATGTGACTTTATAAAGAAAGAGGATCTTTGAAGACGTAATTAAGGATCTTGACATGGGGAGATTATCCTGGATTTTTTGGGTGGTCTCTTAACCCAAACACAAATGTCCTTATAAGAGAGAGGCAGAGGGAGATTTGATACACACAGAAGAGGAGAAGGCGATGTGACCACAGAGGCAGAGATTGGAGAGATGGGGTCACAAATGAAGGAACACTGGTGGCCACCAGCAGCTGGAAAAAGCAAGGAATGGATTCTTCCCTAGAGCCACTGGAGGGAGCACAGCGCTGCCTATACCTTAATTGTGGCCCAGGGAAACTGATGCTGAGATTCTGGCATCCAGAACTGTGAGAGAATAAATTTCTGTTGCTTTAAGCTATCAAATTTGTGGTAATTTGTTATGGCAGCCACAGGAAATAGTACAAATAATATTATCTCCCTCCCCCCCAATCTGCAACTCTACTAGTTGGTCTCGTCAGTAAATGGCACCACCTTGCACTCAACTGATCAGACCTAAAACCTATGAATTGTTTTTAACACTTCTACCCTCACATCACACATTCAGTCCATCAGCAAATCCTGTAGGCTCTGCTGCAATGAATCAGCAAGCTAGTACCAGCAAGAGGCAAATTTGCCTGATGCTAATGAAGCTTCCATGGCTTGGTGTGTTCTCATCTACAGACCCAGGTGTGGAGGGCGGAGAACGGAAGTAGTAATTGCTGCCACACGCTGGAGGTTGAGAGCACTGTCGGTGGTGTCAGGCCCGGTCCTGATACCAGCACCATCTCACATCTACTCACTGCCAAGGGACAATGTGCCCTGGTGGCATCAAAGAGCAGCTAGGCTATCTTTAACTTCCAGGAGGAGGATCTGAACTAGATGCTGCTCCATTCTTGCTCAGGGGCCATTATGACTCAGGCTGCAAGGCCCCTCAACCACCAACCCAGGAACAGCCTGGTAGAGGCGGGAAGTCGGAGGCAGCTGAGGGAGATCCAAGGGCTGGGGTTCTCGAAGGTGGTGGTTCTCAGAGCAAGGTCCTCAGGCCAGCAGTATCAGCAACATGTGGAAACTTGTCAGACATGCAGATTCTCAGGCCCCTCTCCTTGAATCAAAAACTCTGAGGGTGAGGCCCAGCAATCTGTGTTTTAACAAGCCCCGCAGGAGATTCTGGCGCACTCTAAAGTTTAAGAACCACCGCTCTACGAATTTCCTTACAGACAAGAAGTAGTGCTTGAGCAAAACATTATAGGGGAAGTGAGCGATTGATGTCATCAATAGCCAATTGTGAAGCTAAGAGACAATTTTCTAATCTACCAATAATAAAAAATATAATATTATTGGTGGTCATATGACAAGACAAGGAGTATGCAGCCAAAACATGAAAGAAGGCAATTACATAGCTGTGTCATAGGTAACTAATAATAATATCCTATTTTTCTTATGTTTGTGGTATTTTAAAATTATAATTTGTTGTGATTTCTCATTCTAAATATTCATAATAGGATCAAACTTTGTATATATAGTTTTTTAATTCTTTTTTATAAAGGAAGCCCCCTAAATTGTGTAAGTTTCAGTCCTTAACTCTATCTTAGCTTCTAAAAATATCCTAAATTCAACCATTTTTACCACCCCACTCACTTTCATGTCACCATCATCTACCTCTGGCACTACTGCTGAGGGTACCAGATGTCACTCCTTCGTTCTGGTTACACTATAGTCACTTTTTCACACAGCAGCTCTAATGACCCTCATAAAACACGGGTCAGTTTATGTCACCTCTCTGCTCAAAACCTTCCAAAGGCTTCCCAGCTCACTCAATGTCAATATGCCCCATGCTAGCCAGAATGATCTTTTAATAAATAAATCAGTTATTTCTCTCCTGTTCCTACCCTCCAAAGGCATCCCATCATACTCAGAGTAAAATCAAAACTTCTTATCACGGCCAACCAGGCTCTGCCTGCTCTGGTCCCTGCCAAACCAAGCAGATCCCTCTGCCCCTCATTCATTCCACTCTGGTCACAGTCATTCTTGCCTTCTTTCTCTTTCTGGAACACGTCAGAGGCTTCATGCTTTCTCCTCCTCCCCAGATCTTTACAAGTCATCCGATATTTTAAAAATCTCCTCAGGGACTTATCTGACCAATCTATCGAAAATGAACTGCCCTGTCACTGTCTGTTCCCTCACTGTGGTTGATGTTTCTTCAGAGCACTACTTATCATTGTCTGATACCTTATACAGACATGTACATATAGGTTTTCCTTAAAAAGATCTCCTCTGGGCCGGCCCTGTGGCTTAGCGGTTAAGTGCGCGCCCTCCGTTGCTGGCGGCCCGGGTTCGGATCGCGGGCACGCACTGACGCACTGCTTCTCCGGCCATGCTGAGGCCACGTCCCACATACAGCAACTAGAAGGATGTGCAGCTATGACATACAACTATCTACTGGGGCTTTGGGGGGAAAAATAAATAAATAAAATTACAAAAAAAAAAAAAAGACATGCCCTGCCTTCAAGTTTTACAACCCAGTACAGGGCCATAAATATATTAAAAAAAAAAAAAAAAAAGATCTCCTCTCACTGGAATACAGAATTCTATGAATATTCCATAACTATAGGTTTAACGAATGAATTTTGCCCCTATGTATCTATTAAAACTGCTTTCTGGAAGATCACCATGCATGATTTCTATTTGTCAAATGCAATGGCCATCCCTCAAGCCCCGTCCTCTCTAACTCCTTCAAATTTCACTCTCTTAACGACTTCCCATCTCTCTTCCATGGGCTCCTTCTCTTCTTTTTTTTTGCTGAGGAAGATTCGCCCTGAGCTAACATCTGTCACCAATATTCCTCTAGTTTATATGTGGGTTACCACCACAGCATGGCTGACAGTGGCATAGGTCCACACCCAGGATCTGAACCCGCAAACCTGGGCCGCCAAAGCAGAGTGTGCGGAACTGTAACCACTCAGCCACAGGGCCAGCCCCTCCTTCTCTTCTTTTGATCACCAAAGTTAAGGTAATCTCAAGGCTCTCTCCTGGACCTTCCTTGCTTCCCTCCATGCATACTCTCAGTGACTGCAAATACTACCTGATTTAACTACAATCTCACATTACCCCAAGGTGGGTAATGAGGAGGGGCTTTATTCTCAGAAACCAAAGGCATTATCAGGTGGAGGATGACAGTGTCTGTAAGGAATCTTTGCACATAATGGTGACTAGTTAATAGCACAAGAAGCAATTGATTTTTCTTTATCTAAATAAAACAAATTATTATTTTTTAATACTAATGTAAATGTTAATAAAACTAAAAGAAACTTATATAAAATAAAGTAGCTTTTAAAGAAGGTTTGAATAAAAAGAACTTCCAAGCTGCTGTCCAACTTCTATTTCAACTGAATCAAGTGCTATTCCAGTATTCCAGTCTGACCCCTTATACGTGGCGCACCAACACTTCCTGGATGCCCACCAGATTGTGTTCTTCTGCTGAAACCAGAAAGAATTTACTATTGTGAGGCCTGAGATGAGAGGCTACGGCAGGAAGCAGCTTAGACCTGCCTTAATCCACTTGTTCTATCTGTGGAGAGCCCAAGCAAGGTCGCCTTCATGGGTTCCAGGCCCTGAGACTTGGATTTTTATAGCTTTTCCATTAATTCTGTGAATTACCCCAATATTCATTTTGGCTACATGACAAATAAATTCAAATTTTGTAGTCATAAGAATACCTTTTTGGTTGTTGACGTTGAGGAAGATTTTCCCTGAGCTAACGTCCATTGCCAACCTTCTTCTTGTAGGTGAGCCAGTGCCACAGCGTGGCCACTGACAGACAAGTGGTATAGGTCCACACCTGGGAACCAAACCTGGGCTGCCGAAGCGGAGTGCACTGAATTTAACCACTAGGCCACTGGGGCTGGCACGAAAGAATTCCTTTTAAACGATGATTTTAAACATGACAACTATGTAATCAAACTCTCTTCCCAAAACAAAGCTATCTTATCAAGATTAACCCATCACAGATTTCCTTCAGGTCTCCCAAGTGCCCAGTAATTGCTTCATCTCCCTCAAGTCTCTGCCAGGTCAGACTTGACTTAAGAATTAGTTTGCAAACAACATTAAATTCTCATTAACTAGCAACCAACTCTCAACACATTTCCAAACCTGATGGTGTTTAGAGACCTGAATCTATCTTTGTATGTAGAGGACCAAACACCCTCCCCTTCATGCAGTTCTCCAAATGCACAAGGCACTTCCTCCATGCACTCAGTCAGCTGCCATTTCCTCTCCCAGGAAATCCCTCTCCTGCCTCTTGTCTTTGACAAATTCGTATCTCCTTCCACACTAAGCTCAAATGTCACCTCCCTTGAGAAAGATTTCCTTGTCTTCCCGGGTAGATTTAAGTGTTCCCTACTCCATACTATACTTCCATGGCCATTAGCACAAATGGACCCATTTACAGCACTTCCATCATGGGGTTTTAATGATCTGTTTACTTCCCACATTAGACCCTTGAGCACTTTGAGCTGCTGTATTCTATTTTGTCTTGGTATTCCCAGTACTAGACAAATAGTACACTCAAATAAAGAAAGTAAATAAAAAATACAATAAAATTTTTAAATTTTTTTTAATAAAATAAAGACTCTAGTAAACAAAAGGAATAATACAAAAGTTTCCCCTCATGGAAACAATACTCACATATATAAATTATGCCAGCTAGTACAGAAAGAAGAGCTAACAATAAATGGGATAGTTATTCAAAGTGTGATGTGATCAATAAAAACAGGAAAATTTGGGGAGGACTTCATGAAGAAATTAAGTAAACTTTTAGCGATTGAAGGAATGTAAGGATTTGGATCATTGCCATTGGGCTTTTCATAGTTCAACTCAATCTGAAATGACTTTAAATTAAAATGAGAAAATTTAGTCAACATAAAAAGTCTTCAAATACTCATCCAGAAAATGAATGGAATATACTTAATCATAGAAATCTCTAAGAATAGGGCAAATATTACTGGTTTTCACATGTTTTATTATATATATGTATATATTTATTTATTTTTTATTTTTTTTTTTGCTGAGGAAGATTAGCCCTGAACTAACATCTATGCCCAACCTCCTCTTTTTTTTTTTTTTTTGCCGAGGAAGATTGGCCCTGGGCTAACATCCATGTCCATTTTCCTCTACTTTACATGTGGGATGCCCCCACAGCATGGCTTGATAAGCAGTGCATAGGTTCATGCCTAGGATCTGAACTCATGCACCCCGGGCACGGAAGTGGAGTGCGCGAACTTAACCACTATGCCACCAGGACAGCCCCTATATATATCTATTTTATGATGTAAGCAAACAAAGTCTTAAGCTGAATGCCAACATATAAAACAGAACTAGGTTAGGAAGGAGGGGGGATTGCAGGGCCCAGAACATTCCCAGCATAGTATGGCCTCCCCTAACTCACAGGTGATCCCCAAGTCTCTTTCAGGAAACTGTCGAGCCATTAAAACCTAGTTTCCAAAAATCTTTGGAATTGACAATTATCTTATTTATATGATAAATAACATATTTATTTGAAGATTTGGAAGACTAGAATAAGGATTTTTTTTTAAATTTCAAAAGCTATCAATTCATAGAAAACAAATATAGAACATTAATCATTTATTCAGTAGACAAATATATATTGAATGTCTTCTTCTATCTGCCAGATACCGTGTTATACACATTTGGTCAAATAAATGTACAGCTATAATATTAAAAATAAGGAAACCATAAATCTGTACAATAAATAAAAAATTATCTAACCATATTTCGGATTTCTACAATAGTAAAATGAGTGAAGAAGCTGAGAGAAAAGAGGAGATGGGAGTGGTTTAGAGAAAAGTAGTTGAGAACAGAGGAGTGATGAAGACAATGAAACACAGGGGCAAGGAGAAAAAAAAAAAGACGATGGCAGATATATTTATGAAGATGTAAGTGGGGATCTCCACGACATATCATCTCCATCCCAGGCCCTGAGCTCTCCGTAGACAAGATGGCGCCTCCCTCCTTCCAGGCTCCCGCACAGCCTGTACTTCTCTGCTTGCCCTCCATTTCCAGCCATATCTTTTTGTTTCCTTTGCTTACTCTTCCTCCTACTCTGTAGGAATGGATATTCCCTGAAGCCCAGACCTTGGTTCCTTTTTCAGTGATCTGATCCCGTTTTAATACTTCAACCAACAACACTGTGCTGACAACCCTCAAGCTATTATCTCCCACCCTGTAATGTGGCCCATAAGACATCTCTTCCAGATATTCCATTGTTACCTCACATATCTAAAATTCAATTTATCTTTTCCACTCTATCCCAACTTTCTCAGACCCATAAAATGAAAATTTTCTATTATTTGAGTCCGAAAATTTTTGCATTATCCTACATATCCAATCTGCCACAATTCTTGTTGACTTTTTAAAATTTTTAATTAAAGTACCTATGTTCTTCTTCGTTTCCAGTGTCCTGACCACAGGCCCGGTAACCATGTCTCACCCATTACACCGCACTACCTTCCTCACATGTGTTGTAAGTCTCTTCATTTTCCATCCTAATTATGCTACCATCAACTAAAAGTCCTTAATCCACTGATTTAGGCAAGACATTAACCATTCCTAGAACTACTAATGATTCCTACTATTTGATCCCATCCCACCTGTAAAACTAGCTCTTACTATTCAACAACTTGCTTTGGCCTGTGTCACCAATGTCCCTCCAGTGTGCCATGTTTATTAATGATTCAAGGTTTGTGGCCATGCTCCTTCTTCCCAATTAAAGTTTGTTTTTTCAGCCAAAATTCTGACTGTCTTTTTAAAGTAAACTTCAAATCACACTTTTTCTGAGATCTTCCCATCCTTTCGTCTATATATAAATCTCTAACATCGGTGAACTCTTGTGGCATCAACGTGCTTCTGCTGTACTGGTTATTTGGCTTATAATGCAGCTCCTTTATATTGTAAATATTTCTCCCAGCCTTCCCCAAAGGGACCTATGGCCTTTTACCAGGGTAAGTGTACCCTGGGGAAAAGGAAATAATCAAGTCTTTCAGGGACTTCTGGACACTGCTTCCAAACTGACACTAATTCCAGGAGACCCAAAACGTCACTGTGTTCCACCAGTCAGAGTAGGGGCTTATGGACGTCAGGTCACCCATGGAGGTTTAGCTCAAGTTCATCTCACAGTGGGTCCAGTGTGTCCCTGAACCCATCCTGTGGTTACTTTCTCAATTCTGGAATGCATAATTGGAATAGACGTACTCAGCTACTAGCAGAATCACCACATATGCTTTTAATGTAGTCAGTTGTTTACCAACAAGACATACATTCTATAAAGAGAACTTGCTCATGTTTTATAATATTATTTGTAAATAAAGCAAAAAGTTATGAAGATAGTTGCATTTTTCCAATTCTTGACATATCTACACCTCCTGGTAATCACCTGATAAACGAGATTAAAGCCAAAGGCTGGATATTCACACCTGAGCTACAGATTTTCTACTGAATTTAGAAGTGATCCATAAATCATCTTTGGCTCATTCTGGTTCTTTGCTGATGTTATTTACTATTTCCTTCCAAGGGTTCAAATACTCGAGTTATGTCCTCCTATTAATAGCCTGATAGTTGTTCAATTATGTCCTCTTATTAATAGCTTTTTAGTTAGAGAATTGGGGCAAATAGTATACCTTCGAATTACATATCTCACCATATGTCAACATGTTGAGGATTTTCTTTTTGACATCGAGGACAGAAATACGTCATTCTCTGATTCTCCCCTAAGCGACACACCATTATTTTGCAGTAGCACTGACCACAATTAGGACGCTTGTAAACCTTATAGTGTCTAGAGACAGCAGATCCTGCTTTATGGCACTAAAAACAAAGAAACAAACAACATTATAATGTTAGCTATCAAACAGTGTTGCTAAGGAGCCAGAGATACACTTTTAAAGGCATTTCTGAAAATAATTTGTTAAAAATTTACATATGTTTGTAAATATGTCCATATATCTTTTCTTTCATCTGAGAAAAATGTATCGACAAGACTCAGCAATATTTGTCAAACAAGATTTGTGTGAAATAATTAAGCCATTATTTAATAACTTATTAGTATTCAAAACTGTTCTTTGCATAGCTTTACTCTCTTATCTAAATGGGATATAAAAGTTCTATAATTTAAAATGTCTTTCATGCTTTTAAGTTTTTTTAATTAACATAATTATGTGGTTATAAGAAAAAGACTAGATTAGCTTTAAATTCAATTATTTTTAGAACATTGAAGCTGCTCGCTTTGTTTCAACAGCCAAAAAATTTATTTCTAGGGGGACAAACTGAACAAGATCATCTTCTTTGTTGACCTGACACAGGATAGTTTTTTGTTTTTAATCTTAGAGATTCACTAAAAAAGAAAATAAAAATTCAAATGTCATCTTAGGAGAAAACACGTTCCATTTTTGGTATAAGTTCTATTTCAAAAGACATTTTGATATTCTCTGTCACAGTTTTATTCTACTCATAAACATTTAAAGCTCCTACAAAGAGAATATTTTGAGTTTATATCAGCAGTATGAAAATTTAAAAGCCCAGAAATATGGCTCACTATATATAAGATGAAAATTACACAAACGACCTATATTAATTTAAGCAAAGTCTTGAAATCCCCAACTTAACTTTGGCATAAAAGGAGTAGTTGTCTATAATCATCTTTTCCTGGAAAAATACTGAACATATGTAATATTAAAATAGCCATACATACTCAAGGCAGATATGTAAAGCAAGAGGTTCATTAACACTTTGGGCCAATTGAGGAAGAATTCTACAATATCTGCCTTTCTGAACATAATAATAATAAATATTTTAAATACAGAAGATGGATTGTGGAGAAAAAACCAGACATATTTATGATACTTTTCTTAAAAGATAAACTGTGTTTACTGAACTCTATATATGCGTATATATGTGTATGCATATATACAACTTTCAAAATTTACAGTTTAGTAAGTACTTATTTCATTCTCAAAACACTCTTTGTGGTAGATAGAGAAATACTATTATCCCATTTTACAGATGAAGAAACTAAATTAAGTTTTCTAAATGATCTAAACCACACAGATAGTGGCAAATCTGATTGAATCAAGTCTATTTATCTCTTAAGTATTGAGTCTCTCTCTCTAGGCTTCCTATCTTTTACTTTTATCTGTCCAAAAATAGGACAGTAGTCTAAGCAAAATGTTAACATAGCTGTTCAACAACTTAGTATAAAGATAATTTAATGTAATTGTAGCTAGACAAGTTTGGATTGACCTATGACCTAAAATTTCAAGATGTTAATTATGCCCGTAATATGTCGCTCTCTCTTATTGAACCTCTATGCTGTTACCACTAGATGGCCATATACAGCCTTGACATTTCTGGTGCAATGGAAAGGGAAATAACTGACAATTTTACATAGTAGAAAACTTTTTGCTCTTACCCTATAAAAAAGAATGCTGAATTCACGTGTCATTTTCACAAGGTGATGGGTCTGTTCGTCTGTTAACTGACAAACCTTAAAACAGAAGAACAACTAAAGACAGTTTCATAACTTGTTCATCACTGTAGAAAAATAATACCACTTGCCAGTTCTAAGAAACTGTAAATAGATTTAAATAATGTCGATCTTCTAGAACTCTATTTCTCATATATCTATTTAGTATCATTAACAGTGGTTTTATTTTTAAGTGATAGTACTACAGATAAAAAAATACCATTCTTATTTATAAATTTTAATTTTAAATTCAAGTATTTATTGAATATCTATTCTGTATGAGACATCCTCAAGGTCCCAACATTGTTTATCAGCCACCTAGAAAAGTCTTGCTGGATTTGCAAAAAAAAAAAGAACAGGAAAAGGGGGGAAAAAAAAACAGAAAGAAGGAAGAGAAGGAAAACTATGCACAGGAGTAGATGACCATCTTAAGGTCACTATCACACTTTAAAAATATGAATTTATATACATGAATCAATATCAAAGTACTTGTTAACATATGGAAGAACTCAGAAACAGACCTTACTGAAGAATTGTTCTGTGACACAGCCTGGCATAAATCTCAGTGTTACCCTTGCCGAGTTATCATTTGGCACATGTGGTTTCAATGGTAATTGCAGAAGAAATTCTGTCTGATGACTTACCTTTGTTGTATATATATATCTGTAGACAATAGAAACTAATTTATCAGTGTTCATAAAATCTAAAATCACTTAATAAAATAACCATTCTGAAAGTATTACAAATTTTTGTCAATTATTTACTTAAAGTTTAAAGCATATGCACTTCTAAAATTCATTTATTTCTTACCACATCTTATATATTATATTCAGTCACACGTTGAAATGTTAAACTGTGCTTTTTCAACAATTGTGCATGTGCTTTTAGGGGCCTAATAGCTAAACTTCAGAAATGTCATTATTTTTAAATCCCCAGACACTATGGGCAATGATCTTTGACTAGATGAATGGCTGGCTGGATGTACAGATAAAAAGCAAATTCTCAGTTTATCATAGATAATAACAATACTCAGGGTTCTTTTTTTCAAAAACACGTCCCATAGAGATTTAGGTGATTTTAAAAGGCTCATTCTTGTTAAAATTCTGTTTCATTATTCCTATATTACAGAAATTTGACTAGCTTATTCCAAGTGTCAAAAAGCAGACCCTAATCTAGAACTATCATTAACTGGTTTCTTTTAAAACTTATTTCCTACTGATTTGGATTTTACAAAAACTATCCAGGAAATAATTATACAAAATAAAAAATTTTGGATTCAGGTAAAAAACAATTTAGTTAATAGAGACTATTTGGGTCTAGATAAAAGCCCTAATGTAGATTTCTTCCCTGGAAACTAAAATATATATACATCCTTCTACCTGGGTTTGGTTCTAATCTCTCTGACCTTCTCATGACTTTGTCCTATTAATCACCATTCTCTTTACCACAGTTTTAACCTCTCCCTCTCCACGACTTTTTTTTCCCCAACATAAATAAGTTCATGTCTCTCCAGTTGAAGAACAAGAACAAACAACAAAACTTGTCCTGACACCTCCCTCCAGGGCCGAATATTTTCCCTTCGCTCCAATCTAAGCTCTTTTACCAAGTACTTTAAACTTTGTTTCCATTTCCTCACTAATCAGTTATTCCTTAGTCCCCACTACCTAACTTCCATTTTTATCATTCCACTGAAACAGCATTTCTTAATGTCACTAATACCTATAAATAGGAATATATGAGTGTGTGTAGAGGGAGAATTTAATATGCCAGATACAAAAAGAAAGTTGTGAGCATAGGTCACTCATACATTCAACAAATATTTCTTTGAAGCCGACCATGGGCCAGACACTGTATTCTAGATGCTCTGCTATAGCAATGACCAAAACAGACGCCGTGCTCATAAGAGATCGCATTCTAGCAGGAGGAGACAGAATTTAAACAATAAATATAACAAGTAAATATTAGAAAGTGATCAATGGTATGGAGAAAATAAAAAGCAAAGCAAGTTATGGAAGATCGGGAGTTTGAGGTGGAAGGAGGGGACGCAGACAGCAATTTCAAATAGGGTGGTCAGGGTTGGTCTCATTGAGAGGTTGACATGAGCAAAGACTCCTGAGGTCTGTTTGGGGAGAGTGTGTTACTGCAATGCAGATTTAAGTGTCCCACGTTGGTCCTATAACAGTATTTAAAAATATGGAAATAATTTTTAAAATACCCATGACCTACTTTAACAGCCGGGTGGAGACCGCTGTCAAAGAGAGCTTCATTTTTGATGATGTTCCCCACTCCGGGCAACACTCTCTGATCCATTAACACATCACACAGCATCCGTCCTTTCTGCTTTTTAACTTCACTTTCTGCTCTTGAGAAACTAAATTTAGGTGAACATACATCTAATTCTTCCATCATTCTTATTCTCTGTTGGCTTTCTGTTGCATTTCTGTAGAAAGGAATACAAAACACATTAATCCTGAGTCTGGTTAAAATTTCCCAAAGTGTCATTTAACACAAGCTTTCCTATAAATATAAACACTTTATGTTAATCAGAGTATAAGTGTTATATAGCCAAACGATGAACACCCTAACAAACTATATTATTTGAAGGTTCTTTTAAAATGAAGTTTTATCGGGCCGGCTCTGTGGCTTGGCGGTTAAGTGCGCGCGCTCTGATGCTGGCGGCCCGGGTTCGGATCCCGGGAGCGCCCGGAGGCACCACTTCTCCGTCCAACGCGAGGCCGAGTCCCGCGTACAGCAACTGGAAGGATGTGAACCTATGACATACAACTATCTACTGGGGCTTTGGGGGGAAAAAGCTGAATAAATAAAATCTTTAAAATGAAGTTTTATCAATTAGAAACCACTTTAAAAAATTTTATTTATTTATTATTTATTTCCACATGTGACATCCCAAACAACACTCCAGGTCCAACTCTGCAGTTTTGCAGCTGAAGTACCTTGATTTTATTTTTTACCTGAGTTCCACCGATGAGTCAAAGAAACAAATCAGATCTTTGGTGAGCTGCACTTCAAAAACAGGAGGAACTCCACCTTTATTTTTACACTCAGGTGGATTAATCATGATGGAGCCTTTCATTCCAAAATGAATCCTGAAGCAAAATCAAACCCATTTTGAGAAAGTATATCATGTATCAAATTTTTATTCCTTCACTTCACTTCCTGGATTATATGCAAACGAATGTTAGTCAGGATAGGCACTTTTAAAGGGCAAAAAATGGTAGCTAATATTATATATTTTTCTGTTATGGCTTTGTATCCTTATAAAACGAGAAGATATGACAATCAGTTTTCAACTCACAAATAAAATAAATTCCTAGAGAAATAATAAGGCCCTGACAATAAGCCCAAGAAAACATCCTGCTGTTTTCCTTTTCTTGTCAGATGAAGTATCTTTTATTCACAGAACAGTCTAGCATCTCTCAGCTTTTTCTCAGATTCCAAGGCTTTGGATGAGATAAGGCTAAATTTAAATTGCCTATACTTTGTGTTTTTATAAGTTCTACAAAGCCACTAACATTCAAATTCCTTATTTCTAGCCACAACGGATTGGAAATGTTTACTTATTCCAAAACGATATCTACAGTTTAAGACATTTACTCTTTTATTCCCCGCTGCTTTGGGATACACAATAAAACAACTTTTTGCAAAATCTTATGTATCAAAAGAAAAGAGAGGGCCGGCTCCGTGGCTTAGCGGTTAAGTGCGTGCGCTCTGATGCTGGCGGCCCGGGTTCGGATCCCGAGCGCGCCCCAAGGCACCACTTCTCCGTCCAACGTGAGGCCGAG